ATAGTGACTATGCATTTATACGAATTGCATTTTTTACATGAATTGCCCGAGTAAATTGGCCAATCAGGGGGTGCGCAAATATGTGAAAGTGTGTTATGGAATTATTAAACAATACTCAAATATGAATTTGTGAGAAAATGTTAGATGAGCCTCTATATGAAAAGTAATGCTATCATTTATGCACAATAACTTCCGAAACACATTCAACAGATAGAATCTATAGTAGTTCTTAATTCAAAAATAAGTACAACTCCGGTGTGATGTTCAGTTAGTGAAATTTAAAGGGCGGAGTTTTACTCAAATTGAAAAAAAAAACATACACAATAATCAAGTTTGATGTAAAATGAAATGTATTCAATACGATTTATGGAGTATCAATGATTGTGGAGTAGCACACATGTGTATAGTCTAACAAAATAGTAACACTCAATACAAATACTCCCTCCGTCCCCGAAACAACTTCCCGGTTTGACCTACACACATATTTAGGAAATAAACTTATCAGGGGGTAAAATTTTGCTATTTTGACACTAGTTCGACACTGTTTGACACTGTTTTGCACTATTTGACACTGTTTTGATGTTAGATAACTTTCCATTTAAGGAAATGGGAAGTTAAGTTAGGGACATCCGAATAAGGAAAGTGGAAAGTTGTTTCGGGGACGGAGGGAGTATAATTTGAAAACAAATTACATTCTATGCTTGACTTTATGAAAAACTTATTTATACAGAAAGTTCTTGGTTTCACAGTTCATTCTCATGTCATCGTTTGTGTGCAATGTAATTTTTTACGTTTAGCGATTGCTTACTCTTGACAAAACCATGTAAAGATGACCATGACTAAAAATAATTTTTTCAACAATGAACCAACACGTGACAACGAAACATGCATAAAACACATGTGTGATACACACTGGGTGAGTATTTTCAAATATGTATAAGGGGGTGTTTGGAACTGATTTTGCTTTTGCTTGTTTTTAAAGCAGAATTAGAATCAGAATAAGTTTTCAGAAGGTGGTCTCCTTCTGCTTATTAAAAACTACTTCTAGGAGTAAGTTAGAGCATCAAAATGTGTAATAATCAAAGTAAGTAAGGTTGGAGTTACTTTTGTTGTTGCATTGACTGAAACTACTGTAAAAAGATATTTTAGCCATTTTCATATAGTCTTTTCTTTATTTTTTTAATAAAAAATATTTTAAATATAATTTTTCATAAATCAGCAGAATCAACCAATCCACCCATTTCAAACGGGCTCTAATATCAATTATTTCCCTTTTAAATGTAATACTACCTCCGTCCCAAATGGATTTGCGAAGTCAATTTTTTGTGGTCAAACGGTTTCATTTTATTTACTTTAGGATATCAATTTTTAATTATACTTTAGTTTGGAGTTTACAATTATATATGTATATGTATATGTATATGTATATATGTATATATATATATATATATATATATATATATATATATATATATATATATATATATATAGCTTTTAATGTAGTTTCTGAATATGTTAATGTTAATTATTAAAAATTGAATTAATTATAAAAATTTAACTTAAAATTAGTTAACAAAAATTGTTGACTTTTAGCAAATTAATTTAGGAGGGAGTATTTTTTTAGGAACGGTGATACTCATTGCACGTGCTTCATACGATAGTAGTTTGGAAGTAAGGGGGAGTTTAGGAGGGAGTATTATTTTTTTGGAAGGCAGGCTCCCCGCTGGGCTGGATGTGAGCTACCTGCTGGGTCGGAGGCAGGCTCCCCGTTGGGTTGGAGGCATGCTCTTGGCTGGGCTTGAAGTCAGACTCCTTGCTAAGCCGGAAGGCAGGCTTCCGGTTGGGCCGGCAGGCAAGCTATCTTGCCACTCAGTTGGACTTCCGCTCCTTGATGGGCTTGATAAGTTGCCCCAGCTTGAGATCTGGATTTCTGGATCCACTGGTTGGGCCTGCCTGACTAGACAATTCTCCTGGCTTGGGCCTGCTGGTCCAAGTTCGGGGCCTGAACCGATTACGCATTGGGCCTAGTCTTATAACCCCAACATATATATACCTTGAATGGTTGGCACAGATATATAATGTTTAAGTCATGATAAAATTATTTCCTCATCATCATCGTCATCGTCCTCATCATCCTCATCATTTTAACGCAATAAAACACTTTTGTTTCTGTCATAAAAAGTAAAAGGAAAATTATGATTACCCTTTGAGGTTAGGTCATAATTATTAAATCAACCTTATGATTTTAGAATTGAATTATTTACCCCTTAAGCTTTTATTAAAGTTAGAATGTCCCCATTTCGTTAAATTTAAGTTGTTTGGACTGTTAATTGTTAGTGGAATTCTCAAAAATGTCCTTATCTATTAAACTGAACTACGGAGTAGTATAAAAAAAGAGTACATCAATTGAAAGTACTGAAAGTTTCACAGGCTTACCCAAAAGTATTCCAACCAAAACTACATGGTTTCCTGGACATCATTGCGGCACACTTGAAATAGTGCTCTCTGCCTTTCCACTTTTCTTCTTTTTTGCTCCAATTTTAATTCCCAGTGACGGTCCCATTCCTATGATAATTGAAGAACCCTAATTCAAAGAGAAAGTGATTATCTGTGTAGCAGATGTGTTCTCAAATTGACTTTGGTTTTAGCAGGATATTTCCTCATGGGAGGGAAGATTATGATATGACTCATTTGATAAATTAAATACTTCCTCTTTTCCCACTAAATGATTTCATCTAGAGGATAGAAGCAAAAAACAAAATATCTCCTTTATAAAGTATACTTTTTTTTTTAATTTTTTTATTATACATTATAAATCTTCACAATGAATTAAAGTATACTTTTATTAATTCCCTGAAGTATACGAATTGTTTGCTTATTTCTCAAAGGGGCATACTTTGCATCCTAAAAAGTTTAGAAAGGAAATTGATATCTTGTCTCTTCATAGTATAATAAGAACTGGAGATGAAATACCATTCTAATTTTATGCATTGTGATGTGCTTCAATTGGTATTTGTTCATTACTAAAACTAGTGCATGATGCCTCTCAGAAAAAAACTGTTATTCACTTTTATTCAAAAAATTCCATTAGACATAAAATACTCCCTCAGAAACAAAACAATCAATATTCTCTAAACCTATATTTGAGTCGGCTATGTATATGAAGAAAGAGAGGGGATTTAACAAATAATTCCTAAACAAGGGTATTTTAGTCAAAGAAGTGGGCATTTGACGAAAATGTTGACGGGAGGGGGAGATTACAACAATAATCGTAGCTGAGGGGGTAAATAGTTGGATTTTAAAAATATAAGGTTGAACTAATAATTATGATCAAACTTCTAAGAAATTTGTACCTCATGTGCTTCTAAGGATTTTTAAAATCCTCCGCTATTTATAAGCAATAGCAGAAGCACCGCTAGAGCAAAACGGACAACGTTCATCAACTTAGATGAGGATTCTTGCACATCTCCCATCAACATCAAGGAAGACAAGAATGATGCAATTGTGATTCAAATCTCTTCTAGGTAAATATTGTTTTCTTAACCTGAAAATAAATTTAACAAGTATGTTATGCGCAAGCATGTGTAATATTTTCTTTCAAAATCACAGTGATAACGTGTGCGATGATGCAAGTTTGAAAGCACATGAGAAGCCCAACAATGAGGTAATATACCACAATCCACAATATCAATACTTATAAGCAATTTTTTGTGTGTCATAATCCAACTATTTACCCCCTCAGCTAATTACGTTTATTCCAATAGCAGAAAGCTCTCCTTTAAGCCATCCATTGATTGAAGGATTTAAGCTCTCCTTTAAGGCTTTAAGCCATCCCCGCTACAGTTTGCGGGGACGTCCGTCTCTTCCCACGGAGACTGTTGGGTTAATGACCCAATTAGAGGATCGGCCCATTACCCTCTTCTTCGGACGAACGTCCAGGCCTAACAAGGCAGCTTACCTCGACGGACGTCCAGCCAGAGCAATGGTGGATCACGCCTCAAAGGCCCAAGATCAGGACGACGAACGTCGCCACCTAAAGCCCATGACCACGTGAAGTCCAGTCCATGATATATAACAAATTCTACGAAGGGACGAAATACAAACGCCCACAACCCTTTGTAGTATTACCAGGAGCATGCCCCAAACTAGGGAGACGTCCGTCTCCACGGATTAGGCGGGAAACCCAGATCCTGGCGGGAGCGCATTTAATGCTGGGGATTTGGTGGTTAGGGCATCAACCACTCATAGATCTCCACATCAGCATAGCCAACTGCCCGATGGTGGTATAAATAGTAGCATTTATTTCATTGTAAAGGGTTGACAACTTATCACCCTTAGCATTCTAGCTTATTACTCGCAACGCTTCTACTGCAGTATAGGACGAACGGCCTTCAGCCTTTAGCAAACGTATTGTATCGGCGGTTTATTAGACATTAATAATATCCGATCTTTTACTTGCTAATCTTCTTCTTAGCCCATCTTACTTGTTGTTGGATCATTTTAATCACTCACACTAAAATATCCATTCGAAATCTTTAGGCTTACGTGTTCGACCCAAAGGTTGAAGGAATAAACCTCAACAGAGACTTATTGGGCCTGGACGTTCATCCATAGAGGGGTTATATGATCCGATCCTCTAATCGGGCCATTAACCCAACAGAAGTATATGAGTATAATAGTCCGAACTATGATCATTTGAATTTTATTAGACACAGAATATTAAATGAAAATTTTCATAAAATTTAAAAATGGTAAAAATTGATTATTATAAAAATGATAAAAAATAGTTTATGGAATAAAAAAAATGTATAAATATTAAAATATGGAAAAAATAATACAATTTTCAAAATTAATATTTTATAACATCTAGGATGTTATAAATAAATATATAAGTAACAAAAAAAATACTACATATAAATAATGGAACCCAAAAATTAATATTTAATAAAAAGTAGAAATAATATATTTTTTCTAAAAATGCATCCCAAAAATGCAATTAGGCTACAATTATACAACTACAATTAGGCTACAATTAGGCAACTTTAAACCCTAAATCTTTACAAAGCCAACGTACGACACATTAGTGTGCGAATATAATACAACGCCCTGCAGCAAACTATAACACCTACGCCAAACTCTTCATCAAACTCGGTGCCTTCTTTCTGCACTTCTACGGAGTTGTTTTTGTACTTCAGTCCAGTCCAATGGCTACAAACGGAAAAGGTGAATTAGCCAAACGTGCAAGGATAATAAACTTAGATGAGGATTCTTGCACATCACCCTTCAAGCAAGTCAAGAATGCTCCCATTGTGATTCAAATCTCTTCTAGGTAATTACCATCTGCTTTGATTGAACATAAATATAACAATAAAGTTATGTATAAGGATATGTATTTTTATTTCCTTTTTCACCATTGTAGTGGAAACTTGTGCGATGATGCGGGTCTGAAAGCATATGAGAAGCCCGCCAATCAGTGGGCATAACAAAAGTTGGTCTGGTTGGTCGGTCTTCATAACCGAGAAACGTTAATTACCCGGCGGCGGCGCATATCGGGGCATGGAAAGCAGCAGCAAGGAGAAGGGGGTGGCAGGAGGCCGTCCTTTTGTTCAGCGAGAGGATTTTAGGTCCTGAAATCTATGCCAAACAAGTCACTACTTTTCATCAGGTACATACAAAAACGATAATTGGAGTTAGAGAAAAGCAAACAAGATTGGGAGCAGTTAAACCAGAGCTTGAAGATGCAAAGAAAGGGCTTCAAAAGGCAAAAGAGGAAGAGATGTTCATGATATGGCACATTGTCATCAATCTCTCAAGGAAGAGCTTGAACAGACAAAAAGAGAAATCTTGCAGCTCAATCAATCAGTTATTATATTCATTTTAAACTGTCAGTACTCTTTGCAATGCACATGAACATGAGAATGTTTGTTAAAGGTTTATAATTTTAATTAGTATTTCTAGGAGAGTACAGAAAGCCTGGAACTCTGAAGCTTTAAATCCTTCTATAGAAAGTTGTCACCTTGCTCAATTTCAGTGTATAAACTAAGCTTATTGTTTTAACTTGTCAGTGATCCTTTTCCACTCAATTGCATAAAATAATAGCATTTTCTTGTTAAAACATAAATTTTTAGACAAAGGGAGAAGACAATTCAATCACAATAACATTAAAGTTAAACTTAAAAAAGAACGGGGATGTATGATGTTAGAACCAAAATGTACCTGAATTCGATACGCACCGCAGTAACTCCACCAGATATCTGCTTCTGCTTCAAACTACTTTGCACATTGATTTGTACCCACCCTTTTGGAGGTGGTGTATGACGAACCATGTTAAGCAACACATCAGCCAGAACCTGTTCATTCTAGAATTATGTTAACTGGCATACAAAGTCACAACAAACTAACAACGAAATAGAGAAATTATTATATATAGAAGACATGAACCTTTTTGCCAAAGAATACAACACTTTTCATGTGATCATATTTTTTTGGCTACAATCAACATCCACTGAAATCTTTTCAACAGCAGTGAAGTCAAAGAAAGGAATCATTCTACATAAGTTGTCAATCTGTATTGTATGATACACTTGAGACACCTGAAAATATGAGATAGAAGGAAACTCAAAACAGTTCAATATCATAGAAACATCAATATACTAAATGTCTAAGGTATGTGAGTTACGGAAGAGTGACAAACCAGCTGCACCAACCTCAGAGTGACATTTTTCTCCAAAGATGGAACATATTGAGACAATTGCACATCAGGAACAGAAGAAACTGATGACAGTTAACCCCCCAAGCTTTGAGATTTTGATCAATAATGGTTGTGCTTTCAATGCTAGATCTAAAGGAAGAAACTCATTCTCTAAGACATGGTAAAGATCTTTCACTTCTTGTGTAGCACATGACATTACACCTTTGGAAACCTACAGTAAGCGCCAAAAATTACCAGAAAATATAAAAACAACAATAAGGTAACAAAGATACACATATAGATTACCACATCAACCCTGTTGTATGCACCGTAGTAAAAAATATGAACTAGTGTTAACTCATGTACAGTAAATCGTATAAGTTCTATGAAAACAATTTAAAATATATTATTTATGTAAAAAGGCTAATACTTCACAAGAGATATCCTATGTAGGAAAATCAAATGTATGGACAAGCAGTGTTTGCTACTTGTAATCAGGGATTATAAAGGGGTCAAATCTAATGGCATTCGAGGAAATTAAAGACTTATTAGCAATTATATTATTAAAAGTATAAATATGTACGACTTCATAGTTTTTGTATAACTACGAATTATTTGTTCTATTATTTTACAGACTTTGCAATCTTCTTTCTTTACATTCCGATGAAATCTTTTTCTTCTGAAGCAATGAAAAAAACCTTACCCCATCCATACAGAAAATAAGAGACAAAAGTAGACTAGCTCACAAGCAAGTTATTTCAATGATCTCCCAACACATCTTATTATGTTGAGTACTAAATACTATCAACTCCGTCCAAGCTTAAACTTCTCATTGTAAAATGACACGGTTATTTAGACAATAATTAAATACAATTATTTGAGAAGAATTTTTTGTGTGTGTATATAACATAATGAGGCCATTGTTGATAATTGTGATGTTATAGGTGTATTATTTGATGATTAAGTTTTCATTTAAGGGTGCCAATTGTTTCCTAAACTAGATAATAGGCAAATCATAGGCAAAGCACAAGCAGATAAAAAATGATGATGAAATATATGCGGAAAATGTAAAGATGTTTCCTTACGTATAGTTCCTGCATTCCCGTTTCTCAAGACATAGTTGTCTTTGACTATGGTACCATATATTTGTTATAGGTAACTATCGTCCATCTACAGAAGAATGCAGGAACTTGAGCAAAAGATTCACTAACCTTCTTGTCCTCTGGGAAGTTGTGAACATTCAAATACATTGCAGCAGCAAACGAAGATGAAAATATCTCATCCTACAATACAGTTAGATACTTTTTCAGATAAAGGACTAATGAATTTCACTTTGCCTCTCAAGGATAAAAAAAGATACAAACCTCAGAAACGGGAATTCCAAGAGTATGGAACTTCTTGGAGAACAGTTTTCTTGATTTTGTTGAATTATTTGTCACAAAAACAAGCTTCTTGCCCTGATAAAATAACCGCATTAGCAAGCCAATGACTGACAATGAAATAAGAGTAAATAAAACTCTCCCAAGTGTCACAAAACAAAAGGAAAAAGAAGAGTTGAGTACATTGGAACGAAGCATATGGAGTGTTTCAGGGATTCCATCTATCAATTTGTCACCTTTCCAAATCACACCTTAAAAGTAGAAGCAAAATCACTTGGACATTAATGAAATGCATTGGTATGTTTAATCTTGCAAAAAGGAACAAGCGGAAAGCAATTCCGCATTAAGGAGTGAAGTAGAGCATTTACCATCGCAGTCGAATAGAAAAGCGTCGACGGAATCGAGAAGCACTAAGAAGTTGTGCGAGGAGAGTCTCTGATAGGAGGAAGAAGATAGTTTCACTGTTGAATCTGCGACTTCGCAGTTCATAGACCCAGTCAGCAAAGAACATATGCTACCTGTTCTCGTGTAAGCAGCGAAACCCTGCATCTGCTATGTCTGCACGATTGGAAATAATATTTCTTCGAGTAATCGAGAATCATCTCGCAACCATTGTTTACTGTTGTACGAAGTATGTGCTAATGGCAGTAGCTGCAGTTGGCAGAAATGAGTAAGGATGGCAATGGGGGCGGGGGCCCGTGGGGAACCGCCCTGTTGGGGGAGGATGGGGTGGGGTTTGGGGCGGGGCGGGGATGGGTGAGATATTTATCCCCCGCTAAAATATGGGGCGGGGATGGGGATTGCTACACCCGCCCCATTCCCGCCCCGTCCCCGTTATAAATATAAACTCAAAATATATAATACACACACACATATCAACATACATATATAAATAATGTATAAACATATTTAATTAAATTATATGTTGTATATAACAAACACATACATATACATATACATATAGATATATATATATAAATGTATGTGTGTAGTCACGGTTAATGAACTAATGCATATTATTATATTAGAATATTAATACGAGAACATAATGACTGAAAATACTTATCATAAATGTTAGATGTGTTTTAAAAGTGAGAAAGTGAGGAAATAGCACACACATATGCATATATATGTACAATATAAATAATTAATTGTATTTTAATTGATGAGAAATCTGCAAAGACATACAAGTTGATAATATGTTTACTTACATTTTTACTTTTATTATCTTCACATAACTTATTCAATTAAAGAATTATTAAAAATTGGCAGAATTAACTTTTATTAACACACAATATTATCTAGTTTACCTCTTTTAGTGCTACATATATACGGAGTATTTATCTATAAAATAGATTAAAAAATATGCAAATAATACAACAACATCCAAGTCTTAGTCCCAAAAGATATTGGGGCCGGCCTAGTTGTAGCGATATTCATATTTCAATTCATGTCATGTGATATGACTAAGTGATACTGTTGGCTGTCACGCGCCTACCACAACACCCTCCTCCTCCTTTATCCTGGCTTGGAACAGGCATGATACCAAAAAATGATCTCCTGGCGGAGTTTAAAAAAGCATATTTTAAAAATTTTTAAAAAATATGCAAATAATACAAAATAAAATTTATATGGGGGCACCCGTGGGGACCCGTGGGGGACAATGGGGTGGGGTTGGGATGGGGCGGGTCGGGGAGTAGCAGGGATGGGGTGGGGGGACTTTTTAGACATGAGGCGGAGGATGGGGGAGTGAACTCCCGCCCCAAACCCGCCGTGTTGCCATCCCTAGAAATGAGATAGGAAGAACCGAAGGGAAGAAAGACGGAGCACTAACGGAGGATAATGTAGTATAATGGATTCAGTAAATTAGTGAATAATAAAGGGGCACACGAGCAAATTGGTAAGTGGTATACGAAGATTAAATATTAGATCTGATGTGTAAATATAACACACATGTCAAGCATTTAATGGGCCACTTGGACTAGGTACCATACCTCAAGTGAGATCCCCCTAAACCATTCAAAACATTCTAACAATTCAGTCGGAGTAGTGCAGCCTTCCACCTCTGCCGGATGACCGGATCTGTGACTGGAGTAGTGTGTAGCCCTCCGGAACGGTGGTCACAGTAACGGCGCCGCCAGCCAGGCCTTCCACCTCGTTTCCGCATCTGTCGCGGCGCAGCCAGTCTCCCCCACGTCTACTGATCCATCACTCTCAAAGGAAATGGTTTAATCGTGACCGGAGAACTTCCTTTTCGGCGGACGAGCACCCATACGACAGAAAATAAAGCCGAAATTTGGAATCTCATATTACCGAGGCGACCCGACTCAAAAGAAAGAGGTGTGTTCGTTGTGGGGGACCGTTTCTCAGACAGGGGGCTCATCTCTTCTTAAAATTTGAGGGTATATTTATAAACTTCAACTCCTATTTACATTCCCAGCTTTTGTTATACTCATATTTATGTTCTCTTTATCATTCATTTCTGACACGGAGCTGACAAGTTTACCTGTATGTTGGATTAGTAGTGAATATGTACGAGTACTATTTATAATATACTCCGTAATAGAATTTCCCCCCAAATGTTTTTGCCAAGATAGGTGTAATACTGGGGTGTAAAACTCACAATATTTAGGGAGTCTCATTATCAGTTTTGTCATTCATTTCAGATATGGAAGAAAATGAGCAAGTGTCTCCGCAGATGGTCTGTCCTGTGGAAACTGTTGATGCGAAGTACATTGCAAAAATTAGTACCATTCTTGTTGCCACAATCCAGGAAGCAAAAGACCGATTATCTCAGATAGAATATATATTCTGCAGTCAACTTTTCCCAAATTTCCAGTCAGTATCTAAAAGACTGCAGGAAATTTATATGGAAGCAAAGGACGAAGCTGAAACTGCGTGGAAACAAAAGGAAAATGACCTTTTACTCCAATTAGAAAAGATCCAGGTTGTGAAGCAACATATTCTTGAAGAAAATCTGATTCTGAAGTCGGAGAATGCAAAACTATCAGATGGTGATTTTATTTGGAAAAAGCATTTCAAAGAGCTTCAAGAAAAGATAGATCACAAAAGTGATGAGCTAAACAAGTTAAGAGCAGAAAATGAAGAGTTAGGTAAGCATTGTGAATTTAAAGATTCACTAATCCGCAAATATGAGGGCATGGAAAGAGATCTTGTACAAAAAAATGTCCTTCTATCAAAGACACAACAACATCTGGAGCTTGAAGTCCAAGGATTACAGAATGAACTCAAGAAAAAATCAAGAGAAATTGATGGAGATTTGGAATTGCAACACAAGCTAGTCCAGATGGCTCAAGAGAAAACTTCATCTGTGGCATACAAAGAAAGGCAACTGAAGAGATATGAAGAGAAAATACAAATGCTTCTTGCTGAACATGAAGAAGCACAAGGAAAGATTGGGAAGCTTCAACATGAACTGACAGAAAAGAACACTGCGATAGAAAAAGCATCGGAGGTACAAGAAAATTTACTAAAAAAGGTTCAATCCAAGGACCTGGAGAATGAACAAATGCTGTGTAAATTTCAGGGTGAGAAAGAACTTCTTATGGAAAAAGTAAAGAATGTGGAAATTCATGCTCATGAGCTTCAGGTAGAAGTCATGAAGAAAAATGTTGAAGTGGAGGAGGGAAGGAAATTACAGGAAAAGTTGCTAAAACAGGTTGATTTATATTGTCAAGAAAGATCAAAGACAGGGAAGAAGTTAGAAGAGCTTGAGAAGGTGAAGAAGCATCTACTTGCCAAACTGAAAGACGTTAGAGGAAATACTGAAGAGCCCCAAGTAAATCTTCAAGTGAGAAGTGATGAATCTTCTGATGGATTGGAGTTACAAGGGGAGCTACTTCAGAAAATTAAAGCAAAAGACTCGGAACTGTTGTCAGCAAAGAGAAAAATGAAGGATATCAGCAGTGCTTATAAGAGTTTGAAATCTCAGTACAATTTCCTATGTGCACAAGTAGGTCTTACGCCAGAAAATGTGAGAACCAAAATAAAACCTGAAGACGAAAGTGAATTGAGGCATAACCAAAGTCCTCTGATTAAAAATGGTAATTCTCGGAGTCCTTGTGCTTCGTTGCAGTTCTAGTATATTAGATTATGCACAAAGCATCTCCAAAACCACCCAAATGAAGTAAATATATGTTGATTATGATCAGTAGAAAAATGAATCAACTTTTTCTTTCCTTATTGTTATATTCTTGACTAACATTAATATCAATTGTGTGTGATGCTAATAGATGTGGAGACTGATGTGCCAAAAGCTATGAGCATTTCCTGTGAAGAGGCAAAGCGAATTAATATCCTTGAAAACCCAGGAAATACTGGAGTTGTTAAATCAGCTCAAAGATCAAGTTCTATATCACCCCTTGATGATGCAAACATTTCTATAGCCTCTAAAGAGCGCCTGCACATGAAGTCTTGCCTACCAGCTGGCACAAAACGTCGTGGATCTTATTGGAGAGATACTAGGTCCCATCAAAGCCGAGTTGGACCAGATCCTCATGATGATTTTCTTGATACACCCTTGGAGAATGTTAGAAGAAATCAAGGAAATGCCATGAAGGATGATAGCACAAATCTTACGACGGAAGGTCCTGCAGTCAGAGATTCTGAAAACTCAGACGATGAAACACAGGACATGAATATTGATCAGAAGCATCAGAAGCAACAAGTTCCGTATTTAAGGCCTGATACTTCAGTGGTAAAATATATAGGACCTGTAAGGAAAAAATCGGAAAGAGAAAATTTGAAAGGAATTGAATGTAAGCAGTGCAAAAAGTTCTACGATGCTGTGCTTCCATCTGAAGATAAGAATTTCAGTAACTTACGCTGTGAGCATCATGATGGGGTATCTAGGCATCGATTTCAGTACGTCCCTCCTTCAACTCCAGAAGGGTTCTGGAACTTGGGATTTGATTCGGAAACGTAACTTTTACTAGCTTGGAGATCCCGTTTAATTTCTGAATGTTGTAACTGTGCGATTAAAGCTGGAGGAAAAATCATGTTATTTTTGAAGATGTTTAGCTTTGTGATTTTTTATTTCACGTTGCTGTATCTCATTGACTACATATATTGATCTACATTCAAAGTTTTTTATTTAAATAAAAGAGAGCATTCATTTGTATACTAAAATATCTACTTTTGCATTTCATTCATGATCCATATCAAATATGGAGTATCTATCATATATGCTATATACCCCGTATAAAAATGATGGATTAGAAATGGAGTTCTTGAAAACTAAAAAAAGGATAGAAATGGGGTAATGAAATACGGAGTATGAAATAAAAGCTGTTTAGGAGATACGAGATGAGCAGTTGGGAGGATAGCTTCTGGATTATTGAATTGAGAGTTTTCAGCAGTCAGCACTTGCCAAGTTGCCAGGATGCAGGTAAGCTTACTTGAGCTTTTTCCTATTAGTAGCTACTAATAATGAACTGCCAGCTAGATATATGGGCAGGCCAATACAAATGCCTTCATTAGTTGGAAAACACAAAGAGAGTAATTTTTATCAATAACTTTTTTACATTTTAATTATTTATGAGATGTCCTGGGAGTCTAAACCTCTTGAATAAATTCATCTTTATCGACATCTCAAAAACATGCATTACAAATTCCAATCTGGGGTAAATTACCAAAGCAATCCCCAACATTCAATTATTTCACCACCCCAGCATATATTTACAAAAGTTACCCATATAATACACTAATACACTTTTTTGAAACCTATAAGTTATTACTACGTATAACTAAGAAAGTAAGAAGTCTTCATACCTCTCTGTATCTTCTTCGACTGAATCGGTCCTAAAAATTCAATTCGATGACAGTTTTTTCCTTCTATATCTTCTTTTTGGGACTATATCTATCATTCATAGGTAGATGGCAGTCGAAGGACATTTTGGATATTATTTTTAAGTATATATGCTATATTAGTGAAACATAGAAAGTTTGGGATTTTTTAGTTTACTCTACAGCTGTGTTTATGATATGATGTAAAATATGCATAATATAATGCATTATATATGGCCTTATATGTAAAAATCCTTAAACAACGTTGTGTAAGAAATGTATGTAAACGGCGGTAATATACTATAGTCATTACATCACTTGCTCCTTAATATACAATAGATTTCATATCCTCTTGCCATAAAGGGAATGATGGGGATCCTTCTGGTATAAGAGTACAAGTTCATCTCAGCATGTGGTTACACCAACATATTACATATATGCTATATTAGTGAAAAATACTACAGCTATGTTTTTAGTTTACTCTACAACTATGTTTATGATATGATGTAGAATATGTGTAATACGAGTATAATGCATTATATATTGCCTTATACTCTTTTATACCAGAAGGATCCCCAACGTTCCCGTAACTTAACTTCATCTAGCCGGGTACGCCCTACAAATTACTATCTGCCTTTTCCGTTATCTTCGAAAACCACCGCCTGATTCTAATGGTATACAATATCAATCTTCGCTAACAACTAAATGGTTTCTTTTCATCTTTTCCCCATTGTTTTGTATTGAACCGTTGAACGTTGACACCTCTCTCAATTTTTAGATCTTTTTTCAAAACAAATTTCGTGATGGATAGTTTTGCTTCAGCTTTGGTCTTGACTTTTGAACAAAACCTCCTGATTATCAATTTGAGAATTTTCTACACTTAGCTATAGACAAGTTTATGCTACTTTCTTATATTGTACGGAGTATTAGTTTAAATTCTCTGACATATTTGTCTAACATTAATGTACAAAAATGCTTGGTGTACACTTTTGGTACACTCGTCTGTCTCACGCACAAACAATTGTCTGTACACAGACAATTCTGTGGACAGACAATTGTTTGTGCATGAGACAGACAAGTGTACGAAAGATGTACACCAAAATGTGTACACCTAGCACAACTCTAGTTAGAGGCTAGGGCAAATGGAGATACTGTGCTGTTATTGTAGTCATGAATTTGTGTTGTTATTGAGATTTTTTATGTTTAATATTCATTTAGAATGCGTTTAAAATTTGGATTTCTTTTTAGTGGTTATTACTCCGGAGTCTGGAGTTGTAATGACTCAGAGTTCAGATCAATAGCTATGTGTTGCAAATTTCATTTTTGTACATCGCATCTTACATTCATCTATTTTGGGGTAGAAAAGGGTAATAGCTTTGAAACAATTTTATTATGTAATGAAAGCTTCTTCTTGTACACACTTTAATACCCATCTTATACCCATCATGTCTATGAGAAATTTGTTTTTGTCTGTGAATCCGATTCACAGGCAAAATAATTTGCTTAAACATATTTTGCCTGTGACCGGGATTCACAGACAAAAAAAACTCCTTACAGACATGGTGAGTATAAGAGTGAGTACAAACAGGTTTTTTTGTTATGTAATGACACCGTCTTATTTCATCAAGAGTATCACTAAAATTAATGATTAAATGGTGACATTAAAGAAATTAGCCCGCTGATTATTTAAATTTATGATTCATCTGGTAAATGAAATACAATTAATATTTTGTCAATGAAGTGAGACCATCTGATCTGACTTTTTTCAGAGTATCAGAGAAGATTCTAGATATCATCAATGTTGTGGGAAGATCCGGTCATGAAGTTCTATCTGATTTTTTCTTTTAAGGAAATTTAGGAAGGACTTCTATGGGAGATGAGGAAAGTTGGGTTATTCTAAGAGCTTTTGAGGTAGATATTGCAGCATAGGTGGACAAGAAGATGATCTACCAAGCCAAAGGGTGATTGACATTGCCGATACTTTTGAACTCAAGGGGAAACCCCCTTCGATAACAATTCAAGTTTTATTTTTTAACAATGATGAAATATAGAGAGAGTTCACGTTGTTTAAAAATGATAAAAAGAAATTAGAAGAGAGGTGGAAATGACACAAAGTACCTACTCTCAAATCTTAAAGTTATACAGCATTTTGTTTGACATGACTGCATGAGTATGACAAAGTGCAAAACACTACCTACCCAAGTGCATCCTGTTTTTTGTCAAGCAAAGCTACATAGCAAAAAATGAGAAGATTGGCTTTGCTTTACTCATATTCAATGGATTTTCTCCTAGGGGTGGGTTCGGTTCTTGCGGTTCGGTTTTGGCCTAAAACCAAATATAGAATCAAAGTAAAAAGTTCGGTTCGGTTTCGGTTCGGTTTTACACTCCAAAACTTGGAACCACGGTTTGATTGGTTCGGATTGTTTCGGTTCGGTTTCGGTTTTTTCGGTTTTTACCAAAAAATTCTCAATTGATTTAAAATTGATATAATACTTAGAGGGATCAAATATATTACATAAAAATGCATGCACAATACAACAACAAATAAAATAAAAATGAGAAGAGATAAATATGTCTTGAATCATATGAGTATGCGAGATAGATAAAACTGTATATATTATTGATTTAATTTAATTTGTTTGTGAGTAGTTCGAAAAAAGTTCATGAATGTATACGTTCTATGTGATATAGTTGAGATGAATATTTACTGTTTTATCAATATATAATCTTTAAGTTATCTTAAAATAAAAGTTAATTACTACTAATAACTACTAAACACATATTATCATCATTCAATATAGCTACATTATTACAGACAATGAATGTGTAAATGAAATTATAAACTAAATTAAATTAAACATAACACAAACATTGTTTCTCTAACACAAGAAAACCAAAGATTATTGATGATATTAAGATTTATTAGAATTAATGCTTAACAATTGACATATAAATTTCATATTTTAAATAGTTCGGTTTGTTCGGTTCGGTTCGGTTTTGAAGGGTAAAAACCAAAACCGAACCAAACAACTTCGGTTCGGTTCGGTTTTTTACATTCGGTTTCGGTTTCGTAGTGGTTCGGTTTTATTTGGCCGCGGTTCGGTTTAATTTGATTCGGTTTTCGGTTTTCGGTTTTTCGGACCCAGCCCTATTTTCTCCTTGCCTAATTAGTTCAATTATTAATAGTTTTATGTGTTTCTATTCCAAAAATCATCAATTAAAGGCTAAAGGGTCAAATAGGCCCCTGTACCTGTTCGGAATGCTCAATTCGCACCCCGAACTCAAATAAGCTCCAATTCACCCCCTGAACTTGCTAAAAAAGTTCAAATCTCATTTTTTGCAGGTAAATTTCCGGTCATCGCCATGTCAGTCGGTTAGATGCCAACTGTGCATCCCACGTGGAAATCTAAGGGGTCAAATAGACCGCTGAACCCGACAAAGTTGTTCAATTTACCCCCTCAACCGTTGAAAAGTGTCCAAATTGCTATTAAAATATGAAATTTCTATTAAAAAAGAGAAAAAATAAAATAAAATGATATACAAGTTCATAATATAAAACATAGATGTCTATTTATAATAAGACAATTTTTATATTTTAGGGTAAATTAAATATATATACATATAAACATAATGAAGGTACTTATTTTTTAAATACATATTATAAAAATGTAGTAGTCCCTAGCTATTTACATATTATAATTTTTATATAGTACAGAATTTTTA